ACCCAAATCACAATAAATAAAATAAATAAATAAATAAAGACTTGGCTTAGAAATCTAAAAAAAAAAAAAGTGGTTGGGAGGGGGTAGGAAACTAAGTAGATGGGCTATAGCCATGGGCATGAGACTTTTCACTGCTTATCTTTATATAAAATGTATTTTTACATTTATATATGAATATATTCTTATATTCAACCATTTGAATGTATTATCTATTCAAAAGATTTAAAAAAAAACTAAACATCAAAGAAGATAAGAAATTTGCCTAAAATCCTATAGAAAATACTAATGGGTTTAATTATAATTAAGATTCTCAATGTTTTTTCCTTATACCACACTGCCTTTCTGAAATTTTCAGGAATGGGAGATTTTTAAATTATCACAAGTAGGTTCTTCTCTGAAACAAACACACAGTGCTCAGCAAAAATAATACTAGTTAGACCACTAAAGCCACCTTCATATATGATATCTTAGAAAATAATACTCAAGTTTATTTAACTTAATACTCAATGTTGAAGACATTGTTGGTCTGAAACATTCACCTTACACATACTATACAATGTAATACTTGGACTTCATCTATTAGAGACAAAACCCGTAAGAGCTCTTATCAAAAGTTTCTAATTCCAACACAACATTCAATTTGCAGAACAAAATGAAGTGTATGGCATCAAGAATACATCTATAAGAACTTTCACAAAGGAAAAAAGTCATAAAAGCAAGTCAGCTTTCTACTCTAAGTAAGCCAGGGAATGAGTACACAAATATGTGTAATTTGCTCTTTACAATTTACTAAAACCCTAAGTACATATTGTTACTGAGGATCCTGGAGACCCTAGCCTTCTAGCACATACACTTTTAAACAAAATCAAGGGCCAGCATATGCCAAATCACAAAAGGATTTGTATTTGGGAGATCATTTCTGAAAGAACATTTCATACATGCAAGGACGAGGTATCTAGGATCTCAGTGTTAATTCACACACATACACCTGTACTACACTACTACTTTTCTAACAAGTAACCAAGGAACCCCTAGCCCAACTCTGGGCCCCGACTTGGTACGCAACCTCAGCTACAGGACTGATCATCTCCTCTGCTCCATCCTCTGCTTTCAAATGAGGCAACAGTAACGTTCATATTGATGACATATTCAAGATATTTCATAGCTCCTTAGCCTCCTACTACTTCAGTAACCTACACTTCCATTTCTCTTCAATAGCACTGAGACTGTTATACTTTATTTTTTATCTTTACCTTGTAATACTGCACTGTCTGGGCTTTCCCATTCTCTATTTCCTACAAAACCTGGTCTTTAAAAGCATTTCTTATTGTCTCATTATCCTAAAACACCAGGCCCCCCTAAAGGTTTTACTTTTTATAACCCCAGTTTAGACACTCAGAATCAATCACATCCCCACACTATCTCTAGCAGTGCAAAGCTGCTCCCCATTTTATCTTTCTGTCTTGCTGATTCCAAATCTGGATGAATCCAACCATCTTTTGTGCCCTCTTGATCTTAAGCTTCTAGAGAAATCTGAAATCCATTGCTATTGGGTCCTGTTAAAACTATTATTATTTCTAACTTTAACTGGGCCTTCAATGTGGTCAGCAAACCCTTTTTAAAAAAATGCCATGGAAATCTGCAATGAAGAATGAAAGTAGAATGGTCCACTTTCATTCCCCATTGCAGATTTCCATGGCCACAATACCCAAGCCTAAAACTCACCATAGTTCCTTCAGTCTCTAGAGGTAACTGACTACTCCACAGTAATTGATCACATCAAGAAAATAAGGTCACGGGCCACCAGAGGGGCAACACTCATATGGAGGAAACGCAGGACACACAGGAGTGCATAAGTATGAGGGGCT